ATTTTGCTCCAAAGTACTTTTAAAAAATTATATTTATAATAGCTTTAAAAATATAAACTATGACAAAAGATATGCAAGACCTTTACACTGAAAGTTATAAAACACTGCTACTACTGATGGCATTACAAAAACCTAAACAAATTCAGAGGTATACTGTGTTCAAAGGAGTGCTGATGGTGCAGGGCCTAAGGCATGTGACTGCTAACCAGAAGTCATTAGTGGTTCAAACTTACCAGCCATTCCATAGAAGGAAGACTGGGCAATGTACTTCTGTAAAGATCTACTGCCTTGGAAACCCAACAGGGGTCACTATGAGTCAGAACTGACTCGATGGCAATGGGTTTGTTTTTTTTTTGTTTGTTTGTTTGGTGTACTGTTTCATAGATCAGAAGAATCAATTTTGTTAATCAGCACATGAAAAGATGTTCAACATTACTAATCACAGGGATATGCAAATTAAAACCACAATGAGGTACCGCTAATACCTATTAGAATAATTAAAATTAAAAAGACTGGACAGAGTGTTGGTGAAGATGTAAATGAAACTCTCCTACAAGTATATCCAGCTGCATTGTATTGTTAACTGGTACAAATGCTTTGAAAAACAGTCTGGCAGTTTCTAAAAATATTAAACCTGTATCTAATTGACCTGTATCTAACTGACCCAGCCATTCTGCTCCTGGGTATTTAAGCCAGAGAAGTTAAAGCATATGTTCATACATACAAAGACTTGTGAACAAATATTTAGAGAATGGACATCATTTTTATGATGATAATACCAAGTGATGGTAAGGATGTGGAAAAAAAATGGAATTTATACACTGCTGGAAATGTAAAATGGTACTGTCATGTTGGAAAATAGCTTGTAGTATTTTTTTTTTAAAACAACTTAAACATACACTTTTTATAGGACCCAGAAATTCCATTCGTAGCTATTTACCTAAGAGAAATGATAATAGCATGCACACACAGAAACCTGTATGGGAATGTTTCCAGTGGCTTTATTTAGAATCACCAAAAACTGAAAACATTCCAACTGTCCATAAAGTACTGAATGAATAAACAAATTGGTTCATCCACACAACGGAATACCATTCAGCAATAAAAAGGAACAAAATATTAATACACACCACAACATAGATGAATCTCATGATGTGAGAGGAGCCAAACGCAAAAGGATATATACTATATGATTTAATTTCTGTAACTTTTATAAGAAAATAAAACTTTTCTAAAAAAGGCAAAATTATAGGGATAGAAATCAAATGAATAATTCCCAGGAGCTGGAAAGTGGGCACTGATGTGAAGGAGCATAAGAGAACTCCCTGGGGTGATGGCAATGGCTATATATTGATTGTGGTGGTGGTTACATCACTGCAAAATTCATAGAAGCACATTAAAAAGGGCAAATTTTACTGCATGTTAATCATACCTTAAAACTAGACTTAGATAAATTGTAAGTGAATGAAAGCACACATTTAAAACACAAAGGTAAAGTACGTCTGGTGCTGAAAGAACAAGCTTTGAACCCAGCAAGGAAGACGAAGAAATGCATCCCTCTCATCTCCAGAGAAGAGGCCATCCGAGAGCTGAGTCAAGATTCAGAGTGCCGGCCTTCAAATGCTTGTTCTCTTCTTTGTCCTGACTTGTGTAAAAGATTATGTTGTCCCTGGCAACCCAACTAATCTTTACTTTCTAACTGAAGCAGCTTTTTATCTTAGGCCATTTTCCAATCCAGGCCCTTGGTGAACACCATGATGTAGAATTTAGTGCTTTTGAAGGTGCCTCTCCTCCTTTTGAGTCATTCCTTTCTCCAAGTGTCAAGATGTTCAGACAAGAGGAGATATAGAGAATAAAAAAGATGCTATTCATGTTGCTGGAAGCACCGTCCCTTGAATAGGATGCAGAATTAAGGGGCCGGCCAGGGGTTCCCGCAGATTCCCACGGCACTTTTTGCAGGTACAGGTGTGCAGGTCCTCAGATCCTGGACGGGTTCCAGCTTGGGTAATTATATTCTTTCTCTCTAAGTGCCCCTGCTGTTTTTGGTGGATATAGAATTCTTATTCACTTCCTGTACTAAACTGTTATGTAGAGTTGCTGTGCAGCTGTTACACAGCTGCCACATTCCTCTCCATACACAGTCTCTAAAGCACTTTTGGATGAAAGGTGCTATATAAACATATTTTATTGTCATGTACTGGTTGCCTCTCCACCTAGTAGTAGGTTTTGTGAGGTTCTAACTATCAATCTGTATTCCACAGCACATCAACATTTAATTTCTTCCTCCTCCTGCTCCCCAAGCTCCTCCAAACAAGGCTCTTACCACAAGGGTCCGTAGACAGAGAGTCCCTGCAGGGGCACGGGGGTCCAAAGCAGCCACAAGGTCCCACACTTTTATTTTTCTAAAGATCAAAAAGGGGACAAAAAGCGTTAGGGAAAAGCAAAATTAAGGGTACACAGGGGAGAAGAAGTCACAGCAATAAATACGTGTGGTGAATACAGTTCATGTGATAAATCCAGCCCATGGGTATATATATAATTTTTTGTTTGTTTGTTTTGGAGACTTAGTTCCTGCATTCACTCTTAGGTAGACTTTTTTGGTCGTAACAAGGGAAAATGTATGTGGTTAACCTAAAAACAAAACCTGGTTAGCTTTAACCAAACCAGAGAGGTGAATGGCAAAGTCATACCACACTTTGGGGCCAAGAAGAGCTCTTGGACGTTAGACTTGTTCCTATATAAGCGCTCACTTAGACCTAGAAATCTACAACTCAGGCATCTTCTTTCTGGTTGGTTCTACAAACGGCCCACAGGTACCAGAGGACTCGGGGCCATTCAAGATTTCTGGAGCTTATATAAGCAAGACCCCTATATTTTGATTTAATTAAGAAAAGTCTGAAACCAAACCCACTGCCATTGAGTCAATCATGACTCATAGTGACCCTATAGGACAGAGCAGAACTGCCCCATAGCATTTCCAAGACTATAAATTTTTACAGATCAGACTGCCTCATCCTTCTCCTGCAGAGCGGATGGTTCGAACTGCTGACTTTTTGGTTAGCAGCCCAATGCTTAAACCATAGCACCACCAGAGCGCCCTCTGGTTTGAAAGGGCACCAAATTATCAGCCTGTCTATCTTGTAGCTCTTTCAAAAATCAGTTGCAGGTCATGTCTTCCCAAGGAAAATAACAGACAAAACTCAAGAAAGGTGGGTACAGATCAAAACCAAGGCAAGAGAAAATATAACTTTGGATGCTGCTGAAACACATCATCACAGCCTGACAATTTCCCGAGGGTAACTGGGACAGTGATGGCTAACTCCAACCAGAGGAGAGCACCTGCTGCACTCCATGCTGCCCGAGTTGGCTTAATCAGAAGGAAGGGTGGGCAATCTACTTCCATAGTGATACTGCCTCAGAGACCCAAGGAGGGGTCACTATGAGTCGGGTCCGACTCGACGGCACATAACAACAACAATAGCCATCTCAAGAGCTAAGACGATGCTGTCAGTTTCTAATACTAAAAAAAGCTGCCAATATTTGAATTTTAGCCTTCCACTCAAAATCAGGCAGCTTGATATGAAGAAATGATCAAGAGAAACTTAATTGATAATTCAATACATTTTTGTATGCTTTATGCTTAGTGTTGCTAGACATGGGATCTATCCACAACATGAATGGATTTTATAACCAATGGAAATGTGACTGAAGAAAATAAAGAATACAGACCTCCTGGTAACTGAAATACTAGGGAAGTGATGACGAGAGCTACACTTTTAGGATTCACTTCCAATGGGATCAAAATTCAAGATCCTCCCATACTAAGCTCCAAAGATAGTGCTCTCCAGTGTTTCAGTGTTATTAATTTATCATTATTTTATATGTATATCCTGTTATATTAGGTTTGTCCTGTTCTTTGCTTTATAGGGCATAAGAGACAATATTTAGGTTATTAATGAAGAGCATGTGCAATTAAATGATTGGGAAGGATCTTTTAGGAACAAAAACAAAGGAGAGGTAAATAAATAGATTAGGCAAAAGAAATACTGTATCAACCTTTTTCTGTGAAATCTATAAGCTTTTAGAAAGAAGGAGAGGCTGTATTTAACCTTATAAGGCAAGAGGAATAAAGATGTAGATTTTTAAAAATCCTATTAGCAAACTCACCCATCATAGGCCCCACTGACTATCCTCTTGTTATCAAACCGAATACAGCGCACCAATTCCTCATGGCCTTCTAATACTCGTAAACATGCTCCACACTCGATGTCCCATAGTCTGGAAGACACAAGTGACTCAAGTGAACCTCTGTGTGCTCTTGTCTGAGCATGGAATGTTACAATATTTTACTCTGCATGTCTTTAAAGAATCCACCAAAATAAAATCAGTCAACACCCATACAGAAATGTATTGCTTTTGATGTAACTTATTGCTTTTCTGCCACATAACTCAGGCAGAAAAAAAATTATCTGTAGCTCAAACATAGGATGTATTTTCAAAGTTTTATGTAATTCTATATAATATATATTATATATAATTGTATAATTCTCCCAGGAGCTCTGGTAGCGTAGTACCTAAGGCACTTGACTGCTAACCAGAAGGTTGGCAGTTCAAACTCATCAGCCACTCCTCAGAAGGAAGATGGGGCAATCTACTTCCGTAGTGATACTGCCTTGGAAACCCAAGGAGGGGTCGCTATGAGTCGGATCTGACTCGACAGCACATAACAACAACAACAAGTTTCCCAGGCATGAAGGGTAAATGCAATGTACACAGCTGCCTGGGAAGGAAATGACCAAGACAAGAGAGGGATGCCTCCTGCGATCATCAGGAAAAATGAGCTACAGAATGCCTGTGATTTCCCACCTCGCAAAGCATCACCACTTGGTCACTGAGGACACTGCTTTCACCCGCTGCAGAAGACAGTCTTTCATATATCAGGAAAGTTATATTCAAGTTCTCAAAACATTTGTTTACTAATTTGTAAAACTGTATCCTTTTAGACCAATCCAGGTAATTTCTAAAAATGGTAATTCCATTAGATATAATAATAGCCCTATCCATTTTTTTTGTTTTGTTTTGTTTCTAATGGCCTTTTCATGCTCTTAGATTTAACTGAAGAAAGAAACTTCAATTAAATCTAAGATGATGGAGAAGATGGATAAGTTTTGCAAATTGTAACTGCTCTGTGCTATTCATCTTTGTGGGGGAGAACATCAAAGAATACTTCAACTTGTGGATTCTTCGTAATTTCAAAGACAGGTAACTCCCTGAGCAAGCATGGAACACAGGCAAAGCTAAGAAAAGGAAATTGCACACTTTCTACTAGGGAAATTAATCTTTCCTCATCTTCTTTTTTAAGGATAGTGGTGAAAAGAAAAGACTTTTAGCTATTTATTAGCACTTTGCAATGGCAGACAGGGGACATTTAAAGAGAAGGGCCCTTATCTTCCATCTACCTGTCTCTCTTGCCAGCTTCCCTATTCAAGCAATACGTTATAAATAGGTCTATCTGGTGATAAGGGAGCTCTGGTGGCATAGTGCCTAAGGCATTTGACTGCAACCCAGAAGGCTGGTGGTTCAAACCCACCAGCCGCTCTTCAGTTGGGCAATCTACTTCTGTAGTGATACAGCCTCAGAAACCCAAGGAGGGGTCCCTATGAGTCAGATCTGACTCCCCGGCAGTGGTTGTGTTATCTGGTGATAAAACTATTACAGGAAGGAAACACATCAACAAAAGGCTGTGTTGTGCTGCTTCTCTGCTTGGGGCAAACTCTGGACCTGTAAGAAGCTACAGAAAGGACACATATTTTATTACAAACATAACACAGTTGGATATTTGTATGCTCTGTGTGCAAACACTGAATGGTAGGAATACTGATCCCTTCTGGGAAGGGGCACCTGGTGCTCACCTGATGGTGTTGTCAGATGAGCCACTCACTACCAGCCGGTCTCTGTACTGCAAACAGGCAATGCCTCGTTTGTGTCCATTTAAGGTCCTCACAAATTCACAAGTACTTGTGTTCCATACCTGAAACCGAAGAAAATATTTGGCAGTTAATTTGGTATTTTTACAGATAAAATTTATGGCAACTGGAGTCTTGGGGAAGTAAAAAAAGAGAACTGAGCCACTCAGGGAAGTCAACTTCTCAAATAAAACAAAACAAAAAATACAACAAGTTCAATTTATGATAATCTGGGGGACTTTGTATCTGCCTGCTATCACATGGGTATTTCTCAAAATGATTTATTTACTCTTATAGGATTAGTCTGATCTTGCAGACAGAACCAACTTTAACCTTGCCCTTCCTGTTTTTACCATTATTTTTAGGAATACCTAACGAAAATTGTCATATAACTTGCCTTCCTCATTACCCTTTTACTAGTCTCTGAATAATTTATTTATTTTTGGGTTTTGGAAATAAACATTAAGTTATTCTATAGTAATGTTAAAATACGAAATTTCCTTTGATCAAATTTCCACATGAACTGTCCAACTCTAAACTGGTAACAGCTTACTGGAAATTGCTTATTGTCCAACTTAAGAGATCTCAGGCTTCTTACTTTTATAGTCCTATCCCCAGATGCAGAAACGATGTACTTATCATCAAAGTCTACAACATTGACAGCAGCTCGATGTCCAACCAGCACCCTCCGGAGGGTGATGTCAGTTGGGGAGGCCATATCCCACACGGCAATGGAACGGTCTTTGGAACAGGTCACCATCATGCCATTATTGAAACGCAAGTGCAGAACCGCTTCACAATGGTGGATCAATGTGTTTAGCATTTCACCTGTATTGACATCCCACACTCTGGAACAAACAACATTATGAAGGTGATGGGAAATTTAGACGGTACTACAACCTGCTGTCAGCATATGACCACCAAGGTCCACCCCCCATGGTTATTATAAGCTTTCTGATATTCACTCTGATACCACTAACAAGATAGATTTTAAACTAGGGTTTTGATGAATACCAGCCGTTACAGTGCCCCACTGACAGTCCTCAGGAGTCAGAACCGATACAGACCAGGGTGTTCTGTAATAGGCTGACTTAGTATTGTGGATTTCGGCTTGAGGAACAGGGATCTTAGGTTTCACCACCCACACATTAAGAACCAAGATCACCTAGACTCTAAGTCTAAGGGTCATTTTACTGTGGGGGTGGGGATCAAGAATAGCCATCCCGCTGTAAACATGGACTTTACAGCAGAATGTGGGACGTTTGGCTAGCTCGAGAATTTTGTGTGATGAAGTATTTTACAGTAGTATTTTTGTGTATTTGCTTTGGCTTTCACAACACATTTTATTTGCTTTTCCAGTTTGACCTCTTTTTCAGATAATCATTTTCTCCCTTATCTTATGAATGATGTTAGCTCGCCCCTATAATGTTTCAGCTTCCTTAATGCACTCCACAAGCACCAATAAATGTTAACTGTTGATGACTTTCAGGACTCAGTTAGCTATGCCTTTAAGTCAAAAGATAAAGAACAGCATTCTTTATTCACAGAGGATAGCTTGGAATGGTAAACACTGAACTTCAGAGAATCTAACAATGCAGTTAACTTTTTTTTTTTTTTGGTCTAGTTTTTTAAAAAGAAGTTACTTTTGATGCATTATGTTTGCTAAATCCTTTAGCTTAAGGCAAAATTCCTAACAGAGGTTTCCAGCAGTGCTGCCTATACCCAGAACTCAAGCTACACTGGACTCCAGCAGCATAATGGCTGTGTCATCAAATCACTAACGCCTCTGGAAATTGAGGGCTCCTCCCTGAGTGAAGCTCGCAATTAAAAACTGCAGGGATGGTAGGGGAGAGGGCTGTCAAAGGGAGCGCACTGCTCACCTATACACATTTTAAAGGCGCTAATGCTTACCTGCACTACAGTTATAGCCACCTGAAAAGCAGGCTCCATTCCAGTCCTGTCGTTCCCCTGTGAGGTGGTTTTTATAAGGAATGCAAGGTTTACCATAAAGCTAAGAAAAGTTTCTATAATGGATTATTCTTCCAAATTTAAACAGAATGTGTAGTTTCCTTAAATATACAAAACCATAAACTTGCCTCAATCATTCCTAAATCAAGTTTTCTAGTTCTAGACTGACATGAATGATGAGGGGAGCTGATGGCTCATTCTTTAGTTAGACATTTCGAACTATATTCTTGCAGATATATACAAAATACTATCTATGACAAAGAACAGAGGGGAGCTGGTGTTTCAGAGTTGAAAGCGCGTTTGGAATGTGGTACCTGACTGTGGAATCCGATGAGCCCGTTATGATCACCCGCTCGTCGTACTGGAGGCACAGGACAGAACCTGTGTGGCCTGTGAGAATCCGCCTGCATTCCAGCGTGCTTTTATCCCAGATCTAGGAGGGCAACGAAGAAGATCTTTTGATCACTGTGATAATGGGGGTACTGTGGAGACTTGCTGGCTCTATGATATGTTTGATTCCCAAAAGAATCAAAGCCCAGAGTAGTGTGGAATGCATTCTTTTCTATAGATAAAGCTAAATGCCTATATATATGTGGCTTCAGCACTAATGCAGACTTTATCCTTTTCATTAGGGAGCAGGGTAGCCTATAATTATGTGAAGGCCCATTCCGTGTACTTCAAGAAGAGAATTTAACTTAGGACCAACCATCTGTATGTTCTTCTAGGGGAATATCTATTCTTTAAGAAGATGATTTGGCTTTGAGAGTGGAAACGATTAATGTTATCACTCACTTTCCAGAAATAATGCTTGGAATTTATGATTTGGATTGGTTTATGAATGTGGTCTCTTGCCCTCTCAGCTTTCCTCCCTCGACTGAACAGACCTTACCTTGATTGTGTTGTCTCGAAGGCCGCTGACGATCTTCTGATCATCATACTGTAAACAGTAAACTCCTTTGCTTGTTTCACTTCGGCAATGGATTCTCTGTAAACTATGTCTTCCACACCTCCAATTAGATTCTATCGTCTGAGTAGAAGCACGGTAAAAAGGCAGTAATCAGAAAAGGACCAGAACCAAACTCCTATTTCTTCCAGCTTAAAGTATCTTTCACGGCAGCCAGTGACAAATGTTTAATGCTTCATGCTACAGGATATAGAGAACTTAAAGCAAACTAAAAATTTATTTTTAAAAAGCCAGTATCTAAATTGATAAAACATTTTTCCATTTGCAAGATGATTACAGATTTAGTTTCTAAAACTCTCTTGCCTGTAAGTAAGGCATAATAAACTTGGTGAAAAGAGACTGCATACCAACAGAGGGCAAGCTACGAACCATGTGAGGCTATGTGCTCAGGGATCTTCCTAAATGTGATGGCCATTTCCACCAGTGAACTTCCACGAAGAGCAGAAGACATCTGAATAGTAGCTTGTAATTTTACTTTGCACAGTCTCACTGCTATTTGATGATGATGTCATATATTCTTTTCCTCTCTCTCCCATTTATTTACCCATTAGTAACAGATTTTTAAAAACATAAAAAATTTGTCTGGCAATTTACTAGATTTTATCTATCTTATTTACTTTTAAGAAATTGATCTTTAACCCACATCAATAAACTTTAAGGGATTTGGTATAATAATACTGTTACTGAAGAACGCTGATGATTCTCTACTATTCAGCAAATACCCAAATATACACAGATTCTTACCTCAATGTCTTGTATAATTTTAGGATAAAGTGCTCTATAAAAAGAGTTGGGAGGAGCAGTCCCATCAGGTGGTTTGTTTTTGAATAAATACTGTCCCCTAAAAAACAACAAATATATCCCAATGAAAATAATATTATTATTTATTTACAAGGAGTACTTCTTCAAAGTGTTTTCACAGTTACTCTCCCGTACCATTTCCATAACGGCCCTGGAGAGCTGTGATTTCAGGAGTCCCATGCCGAGGAGTAGCTTTCTAGGATCTAAGAAACTCAACCAACATTGATTTTCTGTCTGATAAAACATGATTATTTCCAGTGTAGAACATCGTATTAATTGTAGTCTGGCCATTTGGATTTTTAGACAAAGGGTTTTTCTGATTCAAGAAAACCGAGTCTGATTCAAGACAACAGTGATTCAAGAAACCAACATATCAGGCTTTAAAAATATTATAATATCAACAAACTGAGTATGTGTAATCAGATATCATATACCATATTTTTATGCAGAAAATATGCATGTCATATGTTTTTTTGCAAACCACACAACCGCTCATGCACTAGCTTCCTACATGTGCTATATATGCATTTATGTGTGGGTGCCTTATATGTAAAAAATAAGGTATTGGTCTATCTCTTAGACCTCTGTGTAGACAGATTTTGCTGGCCTTATCTTTTGAGAATTCTGTTAGTAATGTAACTTCTGCCTTTGAACTAGCACATGATCCGCTGACTTCTCCTCATTGAATGCAGCTGTGGAGCCTGGCCCAGTGGGAAGCAGAAATGCCCACGTGTGGAGACTGTTTTCTCCGGGTGTCCATTGGTGTGGGGGCTGTGGGAGGGTATACTGGCTGCTGGTGATCAGGGGAGCTGTGCTTTAACAGGGGAAATCTGGTTCATTTCAACAAAAAACAAAGGCATCACAGGAGTGTCCAGCAGCAGACAGGGCAGAAGATGAAAAGAAATGCCTAAGAGCACTGTTGCTGTCAAGTGTAAGGCATGAAATTGACTTTCACAGGTGTGGTTTGGCTACGCGCACACATACATGTATTTTACTGCCTTTCCTTGATTCCAGTGAGCGTTTGTTAGCATCCCTTTCCTTATGACAGCACATCTCTGTAATACCCATATCCCAAGCTAGATCTTTGCTACAAAAAAATCCAGTAAGTGGCAATCACGTCCTGCTGGGTAAAAAATTTAATTCCTCATTCTGAAGTTAAGAACCCACCAAACACGGTGTGGAAGCTAGTAAACCCCACTATGGGTGTACTCACTGCTGTTCTCACTGGCACTGTGCCTTGTAAAGTGGAGATAGGCAGAATGCCTCTGAGTGTAATCCTGGCACCGGAGAAATCATGTTTTCTCTGGGCCAGCCATCCACTCTCCCTCTATAGCTCCATTACAATATAATTAATTGTTCAGTGTCTCCAGGAGCACCTCTCCCCTGCCCTCTCTCTATTAGACACCTTGAAAATTAGTTGAGAAAATTTCCTGTAAGGAAGGTAGATGGCTCTAACTCGTGTGTTAACACAGAAGGGAGATCTGCAATAAAGAAACCAAAATAGTACAGTTTTTAAAAAGTGACTAACACGAACAAGAAAAGTGATATACTAACATAAAAGAAAGTGCAAATGGGATCCATCTATGAAATTAATTCTGGCTTAAAGGTACATTCTTATTCTATAAATATCTATAGGCAAATAAGTATTCACATAGATTCTGAAAGAAAAGATTCTAAATCTGGTTGATAATTACAATAATTTCAACCCCAACATCCTTTAATAAGCTAGGAATCATTATCTATATTTTGCAGATAAAGAAATCAAATGTCAGAGAGGTTAAAAAAACTTGTCCAGGGTCACATGGCTAACACATAGCAGCCCTGCGATCTGCTACTAGGTCTGACTCCAAAGCCCACATTCTTAACCACTTTATTGTCTCTCAATGTCCACCATTCCACAGAGACTCCTGTCTTCTTTTCATCTTGGTAACTGTATACAGGTACTCCAGGATTTTCTTCATACACACTGGTATTACTGGCACATCTAAGGAGGATGCATGTGAACGCTGACCTTGTTTTTCACACCTCACTATATTTACCATGCCTTGCTAAAGTATCTGATTTCTTCAAATCAAAGAGGTTACAAAAAAAAAAGGGTAGCTAGGTGTTGAAAACTGGCTTCTCGATCTGTCTTTACGTTGTAAGTCAAAACCTTTTCACATGGAAGCTCTCTGACAACAGGGACCACTTCCACGTGAAATGCCTGGTACCTATAAGAGTGTGGTGCATGATAAATGCTAAATACTAAATGCAGAATGTTATCATAAAATGATCTGCTGATTAAGAAAATGGACTTTTCCCAAGTGGTCTTTTATTATACTTTCAAGAGTTACCATTACTAAGCAGAGAGAGCATATTCAGTATTATTCAGAAGAGGAAATGACAGAGTTCATATCCTAGGAGCAGACTGTCAAATCCATCTAGATGGAAAATACAACAGCAAAGGAGAAGTTAAATCTTAGAGACCCAAAGCTTTATTAGAAAACTCTATTGACGTACGTATTTTTGGTTGGAGGAAGTGGAGGAAATTTTCAAAGACAGCATATGGGGAAAGCTAACACACAAAGACTACTGGCATATTAAGCTTAGTAGGACAACCTGGAAGAAACTGATCACAGATTAAAATTAAAAGAAAAAAAAAAGGAAGAAAGCTAACACAGGAAGAAAGGCAATATGTAAAAATAAAAGCAGCAACAAGGAAATCAAGGGGATACAGGAAAAGGTCTTCATTAGGTGGACAAACCTTTGTAACTTCACGGGGCTACAGGAAATTAAGAGGATAAATGTGGTCAAAGACGGGAATATAGTCAGAACTCTGAAGGATGTTCAAAAGCACAGCGATGGGTTTCTGTGCTTGACAAGATAAGGGAAGAGTAGTAATCAGTGCTACATCGGGATTATTTCTCAGCCTTCACGTACCCTCTTTTAAAAGGCCAAAAAAATCATCTTTTCAATGATCTTATGTTTTCTTTGTTGCTAAAATGACAGATCTTGCTGTATAGTTTAGTGCTAACGCTAAGCAAAATTGTGTGGCCTATACTTACTTTTAAGGTGGTCTGGTGGCATAGGGGATAAAGCATTTGGCTGCTAAGCAGAAAGTCAGTGGTTCAAACCCACCAGCTGCTCTGTGGGAGGCAGATGGGGCAGTCTACTTCTGTAAAGATTTATAGCCTTGGAAACCCAGTGGGGGCAAGTTGCTATGAGACAAAGTTGACTTGAGGGCAGTGAGTTGGGTTTAACATACTTACCTTGGTGTTTTCACTTCCATCTGCTAAGAATCTCCCACTTGTTTCTTATTTTCCCTTTTTGCTCCCATTAAAACCCACTTTCAAAAAAGGACTTGGCAAACTCCAATGTCTAAAAGTGTTACTGCCATTTACAGTCTACATGGGGACAAAGTCTACTTTAACAGGGAACAAAGTCTTTATGTCAATGAGGATGACAATGAATACAACTGAAATTTTTTTGAGGTCAGGAGTCACCTGGAGGAGAGTCCTTTTTTATATCACTTATTTATTATTGTGTTTTGAAATTGTGCTTTGGGTGCAAAATTACAAAGCAAACTTGTTTTACATTGAACGGTCCATGTGTATCTGATCTCATGGCTCCAATCACCATCCTCAACCATGAAAAGCTCTCTTCCCCTCTCCTCCCTATGACCACCCCTCCCTGTGCCCTTCATATCTGTGCACTCCTGTCTGTCCAGCTTTCCCGCCAGTGAGTGCTACTCCTCTGGTGTCTCATGGTTGATTGATCCCAGGGTGCATCTCCTTAGAGTAGGTGGGTCTATCGACTTGGGGCAGGTGTTCTGCATATAGGTCTTTCTACTGTAGGCTGAGAGCAATCCATGTAAGTGAGTCCATTTCTAGGCCTGAAGGGTAACCTGGGGTGGACAAGAGTTTCTTGTTTAAAAAATTTTCTTTTTTATTTCTTCTGAGGAGTAGAAGAATATTCCCAGCTGCCCTGAAATTTTCCCACATAAGCAACTGCTTGCTCTTATTTCTACAGCTGGTCATGGCATTCTTAGCAAAATTATGAACTCTGAATGTGATAACACTATATACTTAATTGCTTTCTTAACTATGAAAATATGAAATGAGTTATAAAAAAATAAGTTTCTAGTTTTCAGCCATAGTGAGAATAAGAAAACCATATCTGGGAAACAGAAATAACAATATTCTTTTATTTATGTAATTTTTATGTAGCCAAAGAAATATGTAGTATTTTGTTCCTTTTAATTAACTGAGACAAAATTTTTAAAATCTTCCTAACAGCCAAATCAAACCAAACCCACTGCTGTTGAGTTGATACTGATGGCCCTAGAGAACAGAACAGAACTGCCCCCTTGGGTTTCCAAGGCTGTAACACTTCACAGAAGCAGACTGCCACAGCATCTTTCTTCCACGGAGCAGCTAGTGAGTTTGAACCACTGATTTTTTGGTTAGTAGCTGAGCGCTTTAACCAAGGACTCTTTTCTAATAGAATGATAGCAATCTCTGAAGTATTTGGTATAATATTTAGGGGTCAATATATTTATTATGTTTTAATGAATTTCAAAAGCACAATAAAAAGATAGGGTGCCAATTTTCTATGAAAACTGTTAAGGAAAGCTGATCCATAAGACTATCTTTCAAAAGCACTGTGTATTCCTAACCATTTTCTATCTCCTTATAATCCAAGACAAACCATTGAGAAACTTAGCTTGGAAGGATGTCATGGAGTATACATATTACTGTATCATTGTTTCTATCAACTAAAATACTGACATAGTATGTCACCTTTATTTTATGAAAAATTTACACCTGACTTTCTTATAAGTGACATTCTAGAGACATCCTCTGAAAGAAAATTAAATAAAGAAGACATCTTCCAGAAGTTCTAATGAAATAGCGTCATTATGTTAAGAGGAAAAAAAAAATTGGTGAAGTCTCTTAGGCTATATAATGCTTTAAGGAATTTAGGATTAAGCAGTAAAATCTTAAGAAAATATGAGTCTTAAGAAGAGACAATAGCTAGAGCCATCTTTCTGATAGCTAGAGCTCTTATGCTAGTTGGACATAAAATAACTCTTTGCTTACAAAGATGATCAAATACCAGGGGTGTGGGCTAAAGGCAGAAATCTTTTGAAGGAGAAAAGAATTATTTGTCCTGGGTTATTTTAGGAGGAACTGATCTGATGGTTTCTATAAGATTCAGAGTCATCTATCTGCCTTATAAATTGCTCATCGGCCCTTTTTCAAGATACCAATTTCTGCGCAGAGAACAGAATGCTTTAAGCAGGTGGACAGGCCAGTTTTCCATTACTTTTTGCAAAGCAATATTAATACAGCATTGTCATTTTATGAGTGACTGGTCAGAAGAAAAACTGCTGAGTACATAAAAAACTATTCTCCTTTAATTTTTTTTTTTTTGCTATAAACCAGCAAAATCACTGTATTACATAGTAAGTGGCCTCACTGGTTCCCAGCAATCTTCCAATGACTCTGAATGACCAGGTCCTGAAGCGCTGCCAATAGTGAGGAAGTTAAAAGGCTCACCACCCTCTTCGTTCTGCCAGGCCTCTCCATAGAGAATCCGTCCTGACCATTCTTTCAATGAGCTTCTTCCATAACATGCCATCAGACGTCACTCGGTACCACTCCTTGCACACGAGTTCAGCAGCACACAGTGATCTGGCATCCAGGTAGGACAGAATGTTCTCGGCTATGTGATCCAAACCTCGAGCTTTCAGGGGGCAGAGGGGAGAGGAGGGAAGGGGAGGAGGCAAACAAACGAACAAACAAAGGGGATGGTGAATTTTTTTAAACAAAAGCATCTTTAAAACAGAACAGCATTTGTTCTCCTGTGAAGGCACATCATTGTCCCTAGTGTTGTCCAGTTTCTTTTTCAAACAGAGACTTGGGTAAAATGAGTATCAATAATTTTTCCATAAGGTTACAGAAATGAACAGTATTTTCCATCTTCCTTTAGATAAGGAAGTTAAAGCTAACAACAACAAACCCCCCAAGACATTAAAAATAAAAAGGATTCTAGAAAACAATTCCCATCTATCTATATGGATTTCAGCACTAGGGGATGTTCTATGGATGGTTTCTCAAACTCTGTGATTCAGTTGCCCCCACCCCCCAAATCTCTATATTAGGTCCATTTCTCATTCTGTTTCTATTACTACTGCAGTTTCAAAGCTGTTCGGTAAAAGAAATAAGCCTTTAAATGTACTGGGGGAGAAGCACTATGTCAGAATGTGCTAGGTTATAGAGTGTTGGGCATGTGAAAGTAAGGAGAGAAGAAAGAAATACAGACCGGTATAGGCACAGCCCAATAGGAAAGACAAGGAGGTATGTCTAAGTTCAAAGATGAGTTTAATTTCAGATGTTTAAAAAACTACCCTTGAGAATAGCTTTTGTTATAAAATCTAAATGACAGTTGACCGAAAATGAAAAAAATGTCAGACCAATAAATAACTCGGTTAGCATTTCAGAAATTATTTTGCAGACGACACAAAGGAAAACAGTGGGGAGGAATCTTGGGCTCTGCAAGCTGGATGAGCTTCCCAGGTAAATTCTCCGCCACCCAAATCTGAACGGAGGCCTCTGAGGAATAGATTCTATAAAACAGAACGGTCACACTGATAAACCTTTTGGCTGCTGTTCTAATTCACAAGTGAGACAGAAACATTCAAAGTTATTTCTCTTTACAGGTACATAGTTCTAAAGACTTAAATAGTTCGAAGGATTCCTTCATACTCTGAACTCCCTTAGGCACAGACTTAACAAACAGGCAAGACAATACCACATTTCACTTTATGCCATTCCCCCGGATCATACAAAGACATACTTGGGATGCCATTAGTAACAATCCAAATGTGCGCAAACATTACTCTAATCATGGAGAGTGTATAGGTACCAGTCACTTTTTTTCCCAGCAGACCAGGGAAAGAAAGCATTAAATGGATCGCGTTTGGCTCACATCACGTGTTCATATTTAAGCATAAGCAGATGGAGATATCGCTCACCTATTTCTTATTAAAGAAACATGACTATAAGCCAATTAAAGACATAATAATTAGTTCTTCATGCAAAACACAGTGATCATACAATTTTTGCATCTTTATATTGAAACTATCTAGCCATCAGAAAAGGTGCTCTGGTAGCATAGTCGTTAATGAGTTCGGCTGCTAACCCAAAGGTCAGAGGTTTAAACCCACCAGCTGAGAAAGATGAGGCAGTCTGCTGCCATAAAGATTTATAGCTTTGGAAACACTACGGGGTAGTTCTCTGTCCTACAGGGTCACTATGAATTAGAATTGAGTTGATTACAATCTTCTTTGTTTTTTTAAAATCCATCAGAAAAGTTTCCAAAATGTGTGTCTGTGGTTTTAATGGCTATCATCAAATTGCTCCTGATTCTTCAGTATGTACCTGTAGTAAGTCTATGGAAGCAATTTCACCTCACATGCCAAACAAACCCATTACATTAAAGGATTATAGGCATTTTTTCTAAAAAAAAGTAGTTTAGTTTACTAAATGTAGCCAGATGGTATAGGTATAAGTTAAAACGGCTGTAAACATTGGGCTGATGACTTAATACTTTATAGAGTGGTCAGCAGACACACACCAGGGATCAGTATTAGGCAAAGGATACACAAGTCTAATCAACTCCTGTTCAATTCCTAGTGGTGTAAGCTTGAGATAGCAGCATGCCTCAGTGATTGGGGAGAGCACAGGAATGAGATACACACAGATTGTTCACACAAAGAAAAAGTTTGCCTATAGCTAAAACAAAATCCACAGAATGAAAAGGGGGCAAAAATTTATTTAACAAAAGGCCTAACAGGTACAAATTCAGCTTTAAAATGGCTATTTCTAAACTATAAATAGGCATTTCATTTGATTTAAAGGGAATTTTAAATTCTAAGTTTTCTTAAAAGTACAACTGGCAAAGATTAAACAAATTAGCAACATGAAGTTCTGGTGAGGATACAAGTTGGTTTATTTTTTTCCTCAGAGAACAGCTTGGTAGTACATATTAACAGCCTTGAAAATGCCCACACTTTTTAATATATAATCACTCCACCTCTGGATTTTTAATATATAATCACTCCACCTCTGGATTTGTTTTTTTTGGATGCCTGAAAGATTAATATATTACAATGTCCACCACAGCATAGTTTCTAATAGGAAAACAATTTGAAACTACCTACACGGTCGATAAAGGGATCAGAGAATACGTGCTTCAATCATACAAAGAATACTAGGTAACAACTGAATATTATGTTTTAGATAAATAAACACTTGGGAAACTATATTAAAACAACATATTAAGAAAAAATTTATTACAAACACTTATGATCACAGCTTTATGGGAAAAATACACACCTCTAGAACAAAACAATCTGTTAAAACATTAACAGTCCATTAGTGGTTCTCTCTGAATGGTGAGATTCTGAGTAAATTTAACTTAATTTTTTTATACTTCTCAGTATTTTCTGAATTTCTTATAATGTAACTTCTATAATCAGGAAGCAAAAGATACATTTAAGATCCACTCATCTCTGTGCTACATTTTCTTTTTAAATAAGCTTTTAACACAGATGAGAATCTTATACTTTTCTAAGACAGCATTTCCCCCAAATACTGATGCCTTCGTAGATTCTCTATAGATCACCATTCAGCAAAACCACCACAGCATCCTTGCGTGCGGGCGGTGGGTGGGTGGGGGTGGGGTGTCAGATTTTAAGTCTCATAATCTACATATTTACTTAGTTTACAATGCTATTTAGTTACCGAGCACAGTGAAATAATAAAGCTTAGAATTTACATGCTAAATGTCACAACAAACTCCTGAGATACCTTTCCTTCTAAAAAATGTTTCCTATTCAACCTTCATAATAAATTCCCATCAAAATCCAAATCTAAGTACATAGTTAACATATCTTGAAACTAAGACATACTATAAAAACATGCCTCAAACCAGATACTGCCTCAAAATCTACTTTCGTAGTGATACCGCCTCGGAAACCCAAAGAGGGGTCGCTATGAGTCGGATATAACTCCACAATTTTTTTTTAATTTAATGTGTAGGTAAAAACAGGGGTGAGTAGAAGGGCATGAGATAGGGAGAAGATAAAAAAAAAGAAGAGTCTATTTCCAGAGTTTGATTTTTTTTTCTTTTTAACTTATGCCCCAAGAAGGTGTGATAGGCTCAATTTGTAAAAATCAAGCCAATAAAGACTTTTAAGAGAGATGTACAGCTGAAGGTCTAGTACAGTTACCCTTGTAGGAAATCTTCCAAGTAAATGAAAGGTTTATAAATACCCATAGACCTACCTGGCAGAGCAGTTATGAAATCCCTCTGCAACATAGGTTTAAGATACGAGTTTATGTGGCCATGTTGATAATGACACATTTGGGATATAAGATGTTCCACAAATTCTACTTGATCAGACTCTGACCACTGTTCAAAATATTTGACACACAATTCCTTTTCCTTCTCATAGCTTGCGGAGAGCTTCCGTTGCTTGGGTACAATCATACTGGAAGTACCATTGGCAAGTTTTGTCTGTAGGAGAGAAGGATTAAAAAAAATATCTTTAAGTATTGAAAAGGAAAGAAATGTAAAATTTTCCTGGTCTGGTATGTTACATCAATATGTCTATATGACAGAGCCCACTATGTTCCTCTATTAGTAGTGCTGTATTTGTATACAGCAATTATATGGAAGACCACAGAAATACCATAGTACGTTGGTAAATCAGGTATACTGCAGAAGACAGAGCATTCATTTCCAGAAGTTCACAGAAGAAATTCTTACTATTTGGAGATATATAGATGGAAACCAAATGCTCAAAGCTTGGTAAGTTATTCTTATTACTAGCAAGTCAGAAAGCTGATTTGCTTTTCTTGTATATATTAGTTAATGGACATTTATACAATTACTTGCTCTCAACTAATTTTTAAATAGTCAAATAAATCCTCAAAGCAAAGAAAGGTCAATGAACATTTTGAGACTCTGGTGCCTTTGGTAATAAAGCTGAAATAACACACATACCCAGTCTACCTTTTCCCTTCAAAATAAATAAATAAATAAATAAATAAATCCCATCTCTACTGTTACCAAATTAAATGTTACAAAGACTTTTTTATTGATTGAGTCATCCAACGAATATTTTTTATTGAGCATCTACAACATGACAAACACTGTTCTAAGTGCCAGGAATACAGTAATGAACAAGAATGACATAGTTTCTGTTACTATGAATTTATAGCCTACTAGGGGAGGCCAATTAGAAAATATAATAGAGCTATGGAGAAAAATAAAGCAAGGTAAGGTGACAGGAAGAAAACTATGTAGTTGTGGTAGGCAGAATTCTAAGGTACCGGTGCCCCAAGATTCCCAGTTACTGGTGTACACATATCTTCTCTCTGTTATATAAACACATACTAATGTAGATACTGCTATGAGAGATTTCGCAGATGTAATTAAGTTCCCAAATCAGATGACTTTAAGATAAGATTACCCAAGTGGGCCTGATCTAATTATACCAAAAACAAATCTAAGCCCACAACCTTTGAGTTGATTCTGATCCCCACTGGGTTTCCAAGGCTGTAAATCTCTACAGAAGTAGATTGACTCATCTTCCTCCCGCAGAGCAGCTGGTAGATTTGAACCATTGGCCTTCTGGTTAGCAGCCAAATGTCTTACCCACCACCAGCACCAGAGCTCCTGATCTAATAATCATACAAAATCATACAAGCCCTTCAAAAGCCAGAGTTTTCTCTGATTGGTTGCATAGGAAGGAGGCCATGTGGCAAGGAATGTGAATGCAGCCCCCAGCTGGAAATCTGGCAAGGAAACGGACCTCAGTCCTACAACTGCAAGGAACTGAATTTTGCCAAGAATGAGCTGAGAAGATGCGCCCCCCCCCCCATCACCACCCAGGAGCTTTCAGATGAGAAGTCAGTCTTGCAATACCCTGACCTGAGAACCTAGCCATGCTGGGCCAGATTCCTACATACAGAACTATGAGCTAATAGATGAATGTGGTTTCTAAACTGTTTAATTGTGGTCATTTGTTATGCAGTAAAAACAAAGTTTTCAAAAACCGTAATACAGTTATTCACATCTGAGAGGTCAGAGATGATTTTTTTCTAAAGAGAAGACATGAAACAAATGAGGGAATAAATGAGGGAAAAAGTAAAAATGGACCTAGCTTGTTATTTTTGGGAAGAATGGTCTATGAATGGGAATTTCAAGAGGAAAGGTCCTAAGTGGCGTGTGTCTGGCCCATTTAAGAAATAAGGAGACAGGCCAGCATGGCTGGAATAGAGTAAGCAAGGAGAAATAAGTTTGGAGAAGTGGGCAGAGCCAGATCATCCAGCTCATCCAGGTGGGGGTCTTTAATCTCCAAAGGTAGCGTTAAACAATTCCAGCCTCCCCTGTCCACACATATGCTCCTCTCTCAAGGGGTGGAGTGTATATGCATGCTATCCTTTGAATGCAGGCTTTGACTTGTAAAAGAACATGAAAAAAAAGAATGGGACCTCTGACCCCAGGCAGCTTCTGCCTACTCCTTCTTGTAGCCTTGAGCCATCATGTAAGAAATTCAGGCTAGTATGCTGGAGAGAGAAGCTGGAGGATCAGAAGCTACGTAGGTAAGTCACATGGCACAGCACCTAGGAGCTTGAGGATGATGTGATCTGACTTACCTTTTCAAAGGATCACTGTTGTGCTGAGAATGGATTGTAGGGGACATGGATGGAAATAATAAGATCAATTAAGAGACTACGTCAGTAGTCCATGGAAGTGATAACAATCTCTTGGACTACAGTGGTAGCTGTAGAAATGTTAAAAAAAAAAAAAAAAGAAAGAAAGAAAGAAATTGGGATTCAGTATATACTTTGAAGGCAGGGCCAACTGAATTTACGGACAGAATGGCTATGGGGTATGAGAGAAAGAGGAGTCAGGTAGAAACCAAAGTTCCAAACTGGGGAACATTGGGAGATGATTCAGAAATTAACTGACACCTTGGCTACTCTGAAGAAAGTATGATTTTCTTTAGAGGAGAACCGTGAAGTGGTGTGACTAGGCACTTTCAAAAGAAATTTGATGGTTCTTTGGAATATTTGCCCAAGGCAACTCTGATTTGGTGAGGAAAACCCCTGTTACCAGAGAGCTCATCCCTGCCAGGCATACTAAACATGCAACCATAAAACTGTACCAAATTTGGATAATCAATTTCTGCTATTAATGCATAACCCCCCTCCCCCCCCCAAAAAAAACAACAACCAAACTCACTGCCATCTTGTCGGACCCGACTCATAGTGACCCCTCCTTGGTTTTCCAAAGCAGTATCACTACGGAAGTAGATTGCCCAACCTTCCTTCCGGGGAGGGGCTGGTGGGTTTGAGCTGCCAGCTTTCTGGTTAGCAGTCAAATGCCTTAGGCACTACGCCACCAGAGCTCCTTATTAATGCTTATTAATTTTTTTGTATAAAAAAACCCCAAACTCACTGCCGTTGAGTCAAATCTGACTCATAGCGACCCCTCCTTGGGTTTCTGAGGCAGTATCACTACGGAAGTAGATTGCCCAACCCATAGGCATGTCTTATTTCTAAATGTTAAATCCTATATGCGTTTCTTTACAAAGGGTTCCTGATACACAGCTGGAAGTATATTTTCAAGAATGGCATTAGCCATTCTATTTACACTGAAAGAGCTGACACCTGTAAACGGCAAGCCCTCGTGTGCAGAGTTGGATGTTTTCTAGCATAAATGCCACTGTTGTCTATGATCTAGACTAAAAATGATTAATAAGAACCTTGTTGGACACAGGCCTTGGGGGACTTCTGGGCTGCTTTTTGTGTAGGTTATTTGTTTGCATCTCGGAGAAAGAAGTCATGAAATGTGAAGCAAGATTTAGAGACCTGGCACACAGGTGGTTTTATAAGCTTGGCCAAATACTACTTCTCATGCCCCAAACCCAACCCTTTACTCTATCACCTTTTATATATCGGACCTTTGTCTTTTAAAAGGTGGAAACCAACCTGAGTTGGGTGCTATCCAGATTACTGTTTTCTAGCAAAAGACTAGAAATACCAGTAAACAAAGAACAATCAGCAAGTTAATGAAATGATTCTGCTTATACTTTAAACAAAACAGATGTTTCTATAATCAAGGAGATGTGTGTGCCATACTTTGATTAGAGGCTATCAGACTATTAAAAAATAAAACTGCCTGAGGATTTCACAAGTTTGGTTATTTCACTGAAGGAGCTAAAGTTCAGTCAAGACTTTCTTATGCTTTCTATGATCATCAATCCATAAATAAATGGGACCTAAAAACAGTTGACTATTAGAAATGAAGTATAAACAGAGAGTTCATTAATTTACCAACTGTTCTTCTGGTAAAAGAATTTACAAACTGTTTTAGCTGGTTCTGCATTTTAGTTACCACCCCTCTAAACTCTATTAGTTTAAAAAAGAGCTTTGGCTCTGGAGCAAATGGACTTGGTTTCCAATTCTAGTGCTTTAATTTATCAGCTGTGTGAAATGGAATAAATAACTTTTTTTCTGAGCCTATTCCCCTCATCTATAAAATGGGAATAATAATAGGACCTATTCATTGGGTTTCTGTGAGAAGGAAATAAAACAATCTATGAAAAGCATGTTTAGCACACCACCTGGCATATATTAGGAAAAAACAAAAATGAAACCATTGCCATGGAGTTGGATCTGACTCTTAGCAACCCCTCCTTGGGTTTCTGAGGCAGTATCACTACGAAAGTAGATTGCCCAACCTTCCTTCCGAGGAGTGGCTAGTGGGTTTGAACCATCAGCCTTCTGGTTAGCAGTCAAGTGCCTTAGGCACTACGCCACCAGAGCTCCCCCTGCATATATTAAAAGTATTCAATAAATTATAGCTATCAATACTATCTTAGTAAACTTAAAACATCATGTTAGAGTTTGACTTTCATCGTTTTTTGAAAACACATCCTTCTTTCTCATTATAATACATATATTTAAGAGAAGCGCTTGTGATGCAGTGGTTAAAGCATTCAAAAGTCAGTGGCTTGAACACATGAACCAATCCGCAAGAGGAAGATGGGGCAGTCTGTTTCTATAAAGATTTATAGCCTTGAAAACCCTACTGGGCAGTTTTACTCTGTCCTATAGGGATATTATGAGTTGGAATCAACTTGATGGTAGTAGGGTGGGTTTGTAACATATATTTTTTCTATTTTAATTTTCATTGAAGTACAATATACATAAAAGTGCATAATCTTAGGTGTGTATAGCCTGATGAATTTTCACAAGGTGTAACCCATGTAACAAGTATGCAGATCAAGAAACAGATCCAGAGCCTGACAAGCTCCTTTGCATTCCCCCTTGAGGTCACTATCCCCTCTATGGGTAACCACTATACTAACCTCATTTTTAATTTTTTGATATTTATATACATATTATATATTTAAGTCTGCTTATACAATTTACAGTAGCATTAAAAAGAACATGGAACACTTAGGAATAAATTTAACAACCTATGTGTAATACCTGTAAATT